CAGTCCAGGACCCCTTGCTCCTTACTGCCTGCCAGCCGTAAGCCCGGCTTCTGGCTGAGCAGGGGTGGGGTGCGGGGAGAGTATGGCTCAACCAGAAGCCAGGCTTACTGCTTCTTAGCACTGACCCTGCCCCCTGCCCACTGGTGGGGGTGGGGTGGGGTGCAATCTGGTGCCAGGCGGGCTGGGGGAAGGGCTGGGGGAAGTTGAGGCACTGTGGTCGCACCCCATCCAGCCTCTGTGGAGGCTCCAGGACCACGTAGCCCCTTCTCCTGCTGTCTCTGTGGAAGGAGGGGACACAGCGCTGGGAATGGGACCCCGGGACCCCAACGTGGCCTCTCCCATTGCCTCCGTGGGAGGCGACTGGGCCTATCAGGGGAAGGTGCCACCCCCATCACCCCACTGCTGCTGCCACTGCTGGCCACTGCAGCTCTGCCTGCCCTTGCTCAGCCCTTGCAGCCGCTGTGGCTTTGTCTGGAAGGAGTTCCAGATGTTTGGAAGACATCTGGTCTATCCGATCTAATTAGCATATTACCCTTTTATTAGTATAGATATTTTAAAAAACAGGCATTTCCAGTGTATCACATACCAGATGTCATTGCACTAAAGACCCACAACATGTCTCCTTGTCTCACTAGATCCACCGTCAAGGTGCAGCCCTCAGAGCACATGTCATTCTCTCTCATTACTTATAAATGAAATCATATCCTGAGATTGCAAGGCAACTTTTTAAAAAACTATTTTTTTTTTTACCATTTTCAACAGCTTGTCTTCGTAATCAAGAAAATCCTGATATTATGCAAACAATAAAAAATCACAAGAATAGAGAAACTAAGATGGCGGCAGAGATAAACACCGGGAAATTAACGCCGCACACAACAATTGATTAATACCTCAGAGAAACAATACGGACTTCATCCAGAACCACAGGAAGCCTGGCTGACTGTAAACTCTACAACTAGAAGGAAGGAAAGGCACACTGAGACCCACAGAAGCTGCAGGAGAGAAGCACAGAGGTACGGGGCTCACCCGGGGCTCGCGCGCGCGGAAAGGGACTGGGAC